TTGGTTATGTTGTTCCATGTACGCTTTCCCTGCCAGTATCTTGCACCCTGCTGTGATGTGCTGGACTGTCTCAGGGGCCTCTTTGCACAACTTACACCTTGGGTCTTGTCTGGTGGTGAGGTAGATGTATATATATATATATATATATATATATATATATATATATATATATATATATATGTGACTATATGTGTGTAGCTTGTTATTTTATAAAGTGCATCTCCAAGTTATAAATTCTCACACAGGGGCATGCATTTGTATCTGAGACCATTCTCATTAATGAGTGAGCTGATTTAATAGACTGTGTTCTGCAGAAGTGGTTGTGATAGTGACACACTAACCTCTGCATGGGCGCACAAACTAACATGTCCCAGCTACGAGTCGACCTGGGCCACGGCCGCTGGGAGAATCCTCCTGGCTGAGCAGCATGCAAATCAGCACACAAGGAAGAAGTGGGAGGTTCCAATGAAATAAGTGCATTGGAATATACTTTGCTTTATCAAATTGACATACTTATGTCAAGACTTATTGTGAATGTGGATAAATGCAATTATTTAATTAGAAATAAATATATTTATTTCTAATACCTAATTCTGGAAATTAAGTGCCATTTTAATATTTTATTGCGTAACCCTTCTGACAAGTTTGTTTTGCATAATTTTATTTAAAAATGTAACCTTCTTTACACCTTACATTTATTTTTTTCTGTGAGTATATTGCAGTAATATTAGAATTTTAGTAAACATTTAAACTTTGCACTGATAGCAATCTGGACAGTCTTTTCCCTCTTTGCCCGAAAGGACGAGATGTTTGATTTCCAAAAACCATATAAAATGTGGACTCATCAATCCATCTCAGATGAGCTCCTGGGCCAAGCAAATCCAACATTGTTTCTAGGTGTTGTTGACATGCGGCTTTCACTTTTGAATTGTTTTCACTGACAATGGTGTCTTGAAATGTCCCTGAGCCCAATTGGTAAGTTTTGTGCATTCAGTGTTGGTTTTCAGCCTTCCCACACACTTGCAGAGATTTCTCCAGGTTCTCTGAATCTTTTGATCAATTTATGGACAGTAGAGGAAGAAATCCCCATTTTTTTTTACAATTGTAATGTTGGGAAACAAGTTTTTCACAGACTATTGAACCTCGCCCTATACTTGCTTGTGAATTTCTGAGCTCTTTGTCAATGCTCCCTCTATATACAACCAGGACATTCACTTGTTTCCAACTAACCTTGTTGTGGAAAATACCCCAAGTGTTGGACTGTGCCTTGTGGACTTCACTGGATTGTGATTGGCTAGTCTGCCTGTCAATCCTGGTCGACAACAACCTATCAGAGCCTCTGTTCCAGAGTGTGCCAAACAGTTTTTTCGTTGCAGTAACTTTTTGCTTTCGTTCAACAGCTTAGCAACTATAATATAAAAAAGTGTGATGTTTGCTGATTTTAGTTTTGTTCCATTAAGAGTTGTGAGCCGAGCAATAAGAAAATGTCGCCACATCTTTGACCGGATGCCTGCAGTTTTTTCGGATACCAATCACCACGCACTTCAGTTCACTTGTACTCTGTGGAATGTTCCAAAAAAGTGTTTTCTGACTATTCCCAAATTTCCCAGTCAAAACATTTGAACATTAAATATCTTGTCTTGTAGTGAGTGTAGTGTTCATCATATTAAGTTTTATAATTTTCCAATAGAGCTTTTCTAAGCCTGCTATCTATTTTGGATACTTACATGAATTTACTTTGCACACGGAAACAAGATTTTTCTTAAAAATTTGATCCTTTTTTATTGCTAAAAAATATTTTTATCCCTGTCTTCTAACTATGTTACATTACAAGGACTTTGCAAAAAATAATTTTTTGTATTTTGCTTGCAATACAAGAAAAATGGACATGCTTACATTTTAAGCAATGTATTTATTGTCTCCAATCATTTGCTTCAGTTTTTCATTTTATCTTTGTGCTAATTTTTGCCGCACTTCTGTTTTCTATTATCTTGTTTTTACTTTGACTGAGACCTCGGTCCAGTAGTGGGCTCTTTTCGTTTTGACTTCCGCTGTGTGAAGGCTTTCTTTGTGTTTGACTTGCTCAAGGGATCAGAATTTCACAGAACAGAGCACTTTCAGAATGTCAAAGGGCCCAATTTTGAACTAAAAAAAACACGAGGTAGCAATGTGAGCTGAATATGATGGGTCAATATGTTGTGGTATTTTATTGAACCTGCTCCATCTTCTTGTAGTCTCCATAAATATTTATTGTTATCACACTGGGTTGCAAAAAGTCAGGAGTCAAACCAAGGAGCATCTAACGAATATGCTTCAATAGGTTGCTGGACTTTATAAATATTCAATATTAATTTGTGGAGATGAATATACTTCTGGAGCTTATCTTTCGTTTGATATCTGTTGTGTTTCTGATTTATCACTCACAATTACATTTTAACAGGAGCAGATGAGTTCACAATCAAACAATAAAATTATGGTCTTTGCTGCTCCTGTAGATTGACATAAAAATAAATCTGGATGGTTCATAGCTTTGCGTGCATAAACAACATCTTGTTAATTAAGTTAAATTTTGTAGTCTTATGCAAAACATTTTTTTCTGCCTCTTTATTGCTCATTAACAGATCACCAAAGAAAATAAAGTTGAATTTCTGTTTTGTGTCTCAGAAAAGTTGTTTCTCAGACCATCGGATTCTAATTTGAAAGGTATTTTTGGAGAGTTCTCATTGCTATTCCAGGACTTTTGGAACAATATCAGACAACCGGCATCATAGAGTCTTCACCAGGCTTAACATGGTGATGAAAATTTCCTCATGGACATTCTCAGGTTGTATCTCTCTTTGTTACACCAAATTTAACTCCAGGTAAGCCCATAAGTGTATCCACCTCCTGCTAACATGCAGTGGAAGATGTAAGAAATGTGAATAAATAAGCATTAAAGTCATCTGCTAAAGTCTGACATCATAAGTACAGCAAAAAAAAATAAAAAATTGAAATGAAGCTCATTTGCAGAGTATGAGCTGTGATACAAATTACAGTTTATCTTTCTCACAGTTACAGACTTTAAATATCTTACAAAGTTAAAAGAAAACCATAACCTACAGACTGCAATACCTTTTAAGTTCCTTTTAGAAAATGGTGGAATTAAGCCATTACTTCCACAAGTAGTACATCTAAATCTTTAACTGGAAGAGAGGCTTATAAATCATCTTTTGTCGCTCACTTTGTTTAACTTTCATCTCATATATTCATCCTCATTCCTTCACTCTTATCCCTCTACCTCCAGTGAATTTTGCCGAGCCGGCATAGAGGAACCAAATATCAGCACTATAGATCATTTTGACAGTTTAATTTCAATGCCTGATTATCAGTCAATTTGATAATTATACTATCCAACCATCCAATTAATGTGTTCTATATTTACAATGATGATCAAGTAAGCTCTCCATTTTTACACTGTTTGTAAAGGATGAGCTATTGGAACCAAGAGGGAGGTTGACGGCTTCCCTCCAAGGCGTCTTGATTGAGATATAAAAATCACCGTCGCCACGTTCACCCTCCAGAGAAGTTTCACCAGTCTGCCTCAACCCATGCCTTCACACTCAACAGAGCATGTTGGGGAATCACAACAAGAGGGAAAGACAGAGCGAAACGGGGCAGAGTCAAAAGGATGATCAAAGGATTTCACACTTCCTCCTTGGCGTCTCTCCTCTGGTGTCTGCTTCAGCGCAGCTCAGAGGGTAAGAGGTGCACTGTGCCAGTGAGTTACTGACACAGAAACACACAGAGCACCAAGATGCAGGACCAGCGCTTCATGACTTCATGCCTCATGCGCTCTTTGCTGTTAGCTGGGCGTCTCAGTCTCTCCATGAGCGAGTCAGAATCAAGCAGCACAAGCAGCAGTGCATCGTGGGGGATTAAGTAGCTGCAAATGGGACGTGGTGAGGAAGGAGTTTTTGTCTGAAGTGTGAAAGGCTTTTCTAACACAAAATGCTATGAATTTTATTGGGGCTTTATGTGATGGACCAGCAATAAACTAAAACAGAACTCCAAAACTCTAAGTAAAGATCTAAAAAGTGTGGTTCGAATTTGTATTCAACACCTCAAGTTCAAACTTGCAATTTAAGGTCTACTAGAGTATGTCTTAACCATTCTCCATATATAGAGTTTTTGTGAACATCAGTTATTAAGTCAAGCCTCAACTGGATTTAGATCTGGAAATTGACTGGGTCATTGTAACACAGGAACATGCTTTGATCTAGTGGTTCCCAAACCTGGACCATAAGGATCCCCATCCTGTATGTTTTAGATGTGCCTTCATTTATCAGTTAAATCTCATATTTTCCCCAAACATTGCCAAAGCAAAGCATCCCTGGAGCATTGGCCTGCTACCACCTTGTTCCACGGTGGAGACATTGTGTTCAAAACAATGTGCAGTGTCAGTTTTCCACCACCTGCAGTAAAGCAAAAGTTACATTCCAGTCCCTGAACACCTTCTGCTCACCTTCTCTACATTGCTAACTGGAAACCTCACATGGGATTTCTTATGGCTTTCTTTCCAAAATAGCTTTCTTCTTTTCACTTTTCTAGTTTTGCCAATTTTGTGGAGCGTGTCACTAATAGTTGCTATTTCAACAGATTGTCCTACCTGAGCTGTGAATCTCCGCGGCTCTTTCTGCATAGTGTGCATGACGAGATCCCAGGTTGTGTTTGTAGTATGTAACAGTTAAATATTCAACTGTAACACTGATCATTTAAAATATTTTGAAAATGCCATATGCTTGCTTTACATGACAATCATGAAAGCATTTTTTTCACTCTCACAATGTTTAATTTGTATCATAATGTGTTAATGTGTTCTTCTTCGGAAAAAATAGATGTGAAATGATGATCAAGTAAGCTCTCCATTCAAGTTTTATTTTAATCGACCTTATTTAGAAGCACAATGTCTTTTTACAAACTACCCTATAATCATAATTTTCTTGTTCCGCTAATTTTCACAGATGATGTGCCTCCCTATTTCAAGACAGAACCAGTGCGCAGCCAGCTGCACCTGGAGCGCAACCGGTTGGTGCTGACCTGCATGGCGGAGGGAAGCTGGCCGCTGGAGTTTAAATGGATCCACAACACCACAGAACTAACACGATTCTCACTGGAATATAGGTGAGTGCAAAATAAATTAGAAATGATTGGAGTCATCATCTATGTTGCCACAACTTGAATTATCTACCTGACCATTTTAACTATTTCATCCATTGTAAATGGACATGAGAGCTTTTATTCGAGATAATAAGGCTTCTATTGGCAAATGTTGATTTCTGGCTTTTCTTCATTTCCACCCTTCCTGTTCCAATTTAACTTGATTCCTCTATTCCTTTGAAGAAAAATAACACTTTAGACTCTTTTGTGTAAACTTTGTTTGAATTTAAAATGAAATGTAGCACACATCAACCATTAAAGATAAGCCTCTGTTTGTCCTTTGTAAGATAATGTGTTTGGAGTCCAAGGGAAAAGGATTATCTGATTTAATGCAGTAAAGCAAAATATAAGAGAACATGTTGTTTGTTGATCCCTTTACAAGATAAGAAAAAGAGGTAACAGTACTCGACACACTTAAAATGCAATGACTACAAATTTTAATCAATATTTTTGAGGTGATTTTGAGAATATATAAGTATAAATTATGATTACAAATCTAATAGTTTATTTACTGTGCTTTTTTTTAAAATAAAATTAGTCAATTTATGGCATACACATTTATGTATTTTATGACTTTTTAAAAAGTTCAAATGTGGCATATTTGAATCCCTGTGCAATATTTATAGTTAATACTAAAATGATTCTTATCCCATCTCATTATGGATTTACAATCATTAAATTTTATCACTATGTGTTTTCTACCTGAGTACAGGATTAGTTGGATTTTTGGATTGAGAATTTGATTGAAATCTGGAGGGAGCAACAGATTAGGGTGATGGTAAGAATGTCTTCCAACCTCAAAAAACTGGAGTTCATAACCAAAGAAGCTGAAATTCCAATGGACACATTCAAAACACTTTTTTGACAATAAATTCTTCCATTAATTACCTTTTTTTATTCTTTTTAAAAAGAGAAAAAAATCTAATTACCTTTTCATAAAATTATTTTGATTTGTGATTTTTTTTTCTTAAAAAATATATGTTTGTTATTAAATTAACAAGAGCTTTAAATATAAGCCCGTCCAGCCCTTCTTAGCTGTGGTCCAGGGACATTGTCCAAACCCACCAGTAACCTTTCTTTATCTGCAACAGATAAAGAAACTCATCAAAATGGCAATTGATGAGTTTGTGCAGATGTGTGTTGCTAAGGTCTGAAACTTGCTACATTCTTTTAATAGTTCACCATTCATTAAAGTCATAGGACGTCTGACTCAACAGCCTCATAATGGGTCTTGAAATTGAAATGTACTGAAAGTTTAATCTAACTACCCATTGGTGCATTTGTCTCGCAACTTCACATTGCAATCAGCTAAAGCCCTTTACATCGAAACTTTATGTATTGTATTTAGATCATGCTGATTAACGCTCCCTTTAGATGTGATACATCTATGATGTTTTAAGATTAAGCTTATCTAAAATTAATGTGGTAAAAAAGTGAAATTGCATGTCCATGTGTTAAACCCTTTTATCACCTTTAAAAATTTTGTAGTTAGTTTTCTACATTTCCACTCACCATTACGATACCCTTTATGTACATTATCAAAGCAAGCTTTGCTGTTTTATCAGGCATTTGTCAAATAAATAATGACTTTCGATTTAGATTTTCTATTTTTATTGCCTTTGCCTCACACCTTCCCCTCCGGGCTCAGTGACCTCCATCACTGTCTCTGGAGAGGCTGCAAACAAGCAGGAGGCGCGAATGAGGGTTACGGTAGCAGATAAACCACCTTTAATGGTAACTGGAAGATCCTAATCATGTGGCAAACATTGCTCTTATCTTGGGCAACAGTGTGTCTGCACCGTGAGCTTCCGCTGCAGTGTAAATGGAGCACTGGAGGGCCGAAGGAGAGCTTGCTGACACACAGCTGATCTTAGCTGAGCTGTTGTGCCCATATGTGAGGGAGAATGAATGTGGGGAACAAAAAAAAAAGAGGCTGGGCATACACATACAAGCAACATCTGCCTTGTTGATGAAGCACCTTTCTATGGAGGCAGCAGCTGGGTAGGAAGGGCAGAAGTGACACACACTTGAACAATTGATTTGAATGACCTGTACGTGATAACAACACAATCCGCTGGAGCTTCAGTGCCCCTTCACCTGGGATTCTAGGTGGATGACTAAGTGACGGGATACGTTTTTAAGCAAGCACTGTATAGGCACAAAGCAAAGCTTGATTAGAGAGCAAAAGTATTCATACCCTTTGAGCTTTATCACTTTTTGATACATTAAAACCACAAGGTGAACTGCTGCCCTAGTTTGTTGTCTTTTGCTAAATCCCTCAAGGTTTACCTTCATCCATCATTCCACAAACTCTCTTTGTTATGGTGCCACAACCATTTTTCACTATAGGAATAATGTGTTTGGAACCATAAGCAATGCTTTTTTTTCCTGCACTGCATATGATATAACTTTCAGATCATTTTGATAGCCTTGTCTGTGCAGATCGCTTTTTCCGATTTCAGGTGATGGATTGAACGGTGCTCTATGGGATGTTTAAGCATAGGTCATTGCTTTATAAGCTAACCTTGGTCCACGTTTCTTTAGCACAAAACCCTGCCATTTTAAGCTGCAACTTTTAATATCCAATGTGGGTAATTGAAAGCACATAGTTGTACTGGTTTTTATCTATGGGCGTCAGAGTAAAGGGGTCTGAATGTGAATGCATGGCTAACCTTTCAGATTTTTCTGTAAATTCAGAAACAATGTTTCATTAGTACATTTAACCATTAGAAAATAACCTGTGTGGATCTGTCTCAGATAATGGTAGTGTCTCACTGTTTTAAAAGACAAAGAAAATATGCTAATATTGGAAAAGGTAGGGTATATTGATGTTCTGGTTTATTAAATAAATTGACTTCATGATATATTACGATGTGTACAGCTGTGCCTAAGGGCAGTTTTATCTTCATACTCTTCCTCATTCCTCAAGTCTGCCTTTTTGTTTGTGCCAAGAGAGTATTTGAGCAGCACAGATCCCCATATTAATGAGGTTATGGATAAGGTCCCCGGTGCTGAGTGCTGCTTTAAATATTGACACCATGCGACTTGACCTTGTGTCCTCTGGCAAGCGATCGATAGTGCAAGGCCTGCGTGGGCATTATTATTCAACACGTAGGTAGGCGAGTGAGACAGAAAATGTTCTGGTGGGGGAAAGCAAGTGGTTCCAGCGCAAGCAATGCTGCTCTCAGGAGAGATCTGGATTAGCATTGACTGCTGTCACTCAAGAGTACCTGCACACAATGTTTGTCCAGCATTCTGCTCTCTCTGCCGCCTCCTCCACCCCATCCACTTTAAGCAATTTTACAGGTTATGCACCAAATTTCTGTTCAACTTTGTCACAATTAGTAATTAACATCAGAGGGGAAGATCACTTGAGAAATATCCTGTGCATGAGTCTTTGGTAGATCAATAAGTGCTCAACTACAGATCACTGCAACTTTCTGTGTGGGCCTGAGACCTGTGGGGTTAGGCCCTGGTACTTTGCTTGTCTTTATTCTGCCAGTCAAAATAGAACCTTAATTAAGAACGTTAATTATTAATTCAATCTCAAGAGATGCTTTGGTTTGTCAATTGGTTCTTGGCTGGATTGCTGAACCGAGGACTCTCCTTGCATGAGAAGGAAGCTTTTTTACTTTTTGTTTCTACTTTTTGTAGAAAACGAAGAAAACAACTTTGAACACACAGTCTTTTAATCAACAGATGCTCACTGAATGAGATGGTAAAAACACAAAAGAAGAGGTTTGACAGCCATAGCAGACTAAATTCATGCTGATGGACTTTAGATTTTTATCTGCTGGCAAATTTTTTTTCTTGTTGTTGTCAGTTTTGGAGGAGAGAATACCCGGTACGGTACAACTGCAACAAAGAAGAGCTTTCAACCATCAGAAAAAAAAATGAAATAAAATAAAATGCTGAAAATGAGATTAACACTTTGACAGCTAAAGTAATCGAGTGTCACTTTTGTGTCTCTGGTAATAACTTGTCTCTGGAAATTAAATGTGGTGATATCTTTTGAAATATTCATTGAAGACATTTGTACAATTTCCAAATCAAGGAACGGGTAGGTGCTCCAGGCAAATATATAGATTAGTTTAAAGTCATGTATTTGCTGAAAAGACCTACCTCAATCCTCTCTTGCACTTTTGATTTCCCTTTCATCCTCCGTCTTTGTTCATTCTCTCTGCCTCGGTTTAATCCACTTATATATGAACTACCAACAAGCATCCTAAACAGGTGTAATTTCATGGTAGCACTGAGCAAATTAACACAAGTTCAAAACAATATTATTCCACATCTTAAGGGAAGAAATGACAGACCCAGTTGAGTGACTGGATAAAGATGAGGGAAGAGTAGGAGGAACATAGAAGCAGATATCAGAATGTGCATTTTATTTTTTGCCTTTCTACTTTATCTGATGAAGTGACAGTCACAATTGACTTTCAGGAAGTTTGTTTCACTGGGGATAAACCCCTTTTTATCTGCCATTAAACAACATTTTGTTATAAACTCTTAAAAAATGTGATTGCACCTGGACTAGAATGTTGATAAAAACCTCTTTCCCTTGCAGAAGAAAAATCTTTATGTGAGTATACTGAACTTAATGTGGCTATGGATGAGTTACATTCTATATTTCACTGTTGTTTGCATTATGAGGAATAATACAAACAATGATTAAAAAAAAACAACACTGCTCAGTTTTGCATGTTCACAACACATATATTTAATGAAAGCTATTTTTGAGTTAGCAACATTCAATGACCAAGCTTGGCAAAGACAGGTTCGTAGTGTCAATAGTTAATCTTTTTTGCCGTGAAATTCTTTTTTTTTTTTTTTTTGCAAATGATTATATTTGGGAATCTTGTTCAGTGGCCTTCTTGATATCCTTTAAGATGTCTGAGTATAAGGTGTATCTTGTTCTGTAGCTTGAGCAGCACAGTATGGTGCATGACATTCTAAGAAATAAA